AACGGCAAGTCGCAGGAGGTGAACGAACGCTATACCTTTGTTGAAAATGAAAAGAAGAAGTTGTGGATGCTGAGGAAATTGGGGTTGGAACCCATGTGCAAGGAAGCTGGAATCAAGCTTCAAAAAATGGAAGAAACCATCGGCAAGGCGAACAAGGTCTTCGATAAAGATGGTGATAAAGTTATGAGACAGATATCTAGCGAGGCATGCTCGATGTATCACGTTGGAGACGACGAGACAGAGAAGAAAAGTTGGCACTACAGAAGACGCTAACGAGAAAAGTGTCGAACTCTGAGGAGACGTCTTGAGCGTGGCCAGATTGCGGTCATTAGGAACGAGGGTAGTTTGAAGCAGATTGCGGTCATTACGAACGAGGGTCGTTTGAAGCGATCTAGTTTCTTTGAGAATTTGTCCGGTTCTGGTTTACCTTCGTGGTCTGGTCCTGCAACGGCTCCATATTTATGCGAGAATTCCTCTGCTGCCTTTTCGGGCTCTGCTTCTCATACCCTTTGTCTGGTCCTCTCTTCGTCCACTTCCTTGTCTTCTTATCCTCTTCCTCTTCTTGCTGTCCTGTTTCTTCCTCGGCCTTCGCATTCAAATGTTCCTCACTTTCTGCAGACTTTTTTTTTTTTTTTTTTTTTTTACAAAACCTCTATCCCGGTGTCCTTGTTAAACCCAAAGACTGAAACTTTTTAAGTGCACTTTCCGCAGACTTTGTTTTACGATATCAGGACTTTAATGCCTTTTTCTACTTGTTGTCCGTGTAATTATAAATGGGCAGATTGTTTGGGCAGAGAAGTTAAACGGTTATTTGTTGGAACGTTTGCATCAGGGCTTTGATTTTGAGTGTTGGGAGGGTCCCTTGGTCTACATGTTGATTTCAACCTGGACGTGTCATCTGTACGTTGGCTCGACGACGAGGTCATTGCCAATCAAATGGAATGAACATGTGTGCCACGCTCTCAATCCTCATGTGGTGAATGGAGGAAGGTGCAACCACAAGCTGTATTGTTGGTCGAGGCTTGTCGTGTGGGGCAGTATGTAGCTATATCTTTGTTTCAATAAAGAGTGAGATGTTCTACATCTAGAGATATGCATGATTTGCTGGTTGCGTCCATACTTCAATGGACGAGATAAGCCGAGTGAAGCAAAGGCGCCAGCAGTTGGGTAAATGTGAAAGGAGGAGAAGGGCGATCCAAGATTGTGTGGTTGGGAAGACGGGACGATGTCGAACGCATATAAACTCCATTCTACCATTCGGGTTGTGTCGCCTCCTCTGTCAGCGATAAGGTATCTTCAGTGGGTATCATGCATACCGAAGGGGATGAATGGGCGGAGAATTGGAAAGTGATTGACCGCAAGTATGGTTTCGTCATTGGTTCGGACCGATTGCATTGTGGAAGTGCTAAGGGAAAGGAAAAGGTTTTCCCAAGCGGGAACTGACATATTAATCACTACTGTTGTTCCATTCTTGTCCACAGCCTTGATTCAGAAACCCACTTCGGCGAACTTGCTTCATGATCTGCCCTCTGGCAAACAACTGAAAGTGGGACTTCGTTGTTTTGGTTCGGGCCTTTTCTGCTATTAGGACGTTTCCAGAGAAGCGCAGTCAATACTGGCTGGCTTTGATTGTTTCTGGGGTAATTAGGCGACGATTTGATTTGAATGTCGGGCAGCGGCTAGGGATTAAGTATGGTTCGTCATTGTGCAAAAAGCGGATTGTGCAGGAGGAAGCGGACGATAGAATGGAACTCGTAAAGGTTAAAGAACAAAATCAAGGGGGATTTGCTGCTTAAATTTTAGGACGACGGCTAACAAGGTCGAGGAGGCATGCACATGTGCTTCATCTGATGAAGTTTTTCCACGCATAGATGGCCATGTGTCTTTCCGGCTGAACGACCTGGAAGGTGCGCCGAGTTGGTTCAGTAACAATAGGAATGTTCCCGGTCCTTCTAGGTGGATGGGGAATGAAAGGGTTCGTGTAAAGAGGAGGTGGTGGTTGCTTGGAAAACGAGATTGGAGGGGCTAGTATCAACCCCGATTGATCACAACCCGGGGGACACCTTGGTTTGTTGGCGAGTATAGTATCGCCAAGGAAAAGCAAAATTATTTTCAATAGCCCAGGGGTTGTGACCCGTGAGGAGGAGAACACCTTCCTGAGACCCGGAGAGTTTATGCACTAAAAGGGCTGGAAAAACTGGCTCGATGGGATAGGCGAGGTAAGTAGGTAAGTTGGTTGGACAGGCGAGGTAAGTTGGAAAAACCGAAGCACGAGGATGTTAAGAGGTGGAGACCAATCTGCCCTTCCTTCTCCCCTGTGTGCATCGTACAGGGAAGGAGGACGCTTTCTCAGTTTGTCAACCAGGTGGTTTGGGTGCTTCCGGAAAGTTCAAAGAGGAGTGCCTTAGTGTGATTTAGTGTTATTTTCTTTTTTATCTTCGATTCGGTGAGGAATTCTGATGTGATCCTCGGCCAAAAGTTGTTTGTTTTGCGATTCTACACAACATTTCTTTTTCTGGAATTTTTAGACTTTCATTTTTTTGCGAAGGGACCCCGCCGGGCCGGGCATCCGGACCTGCATCTGGGCACAAGTCGGGTGCCCGAGCGCCCTCTAGTCCTGCTATCTCCTGTGTTCTGTGCGTTTTCTCTAAATTCTCCTTTCTATCTTCGCTTGGAAAGGATAAGGGTCTGGTTCGTGGGATCCCGTTCATTGGTGATGTGCATCTCTTTGTGAGGTACAAAAAGGTTGACGAAGCGTCGTCGTTTAACAAAGCGCACGTAATCTCGAGGCAAATTGAGGATTGTTATGACCAAAACCTTACCTTGGAATGCACAGACAGATCGACAAGCTGTGATTTCTTAGGCGGTGTGGTGAGACTGTTCGGCTGGCCGGTCGGGGTCAAGTGCACGGCTGTTCACAAAAACCAGAGGACAGAACTGGAGAAGGGAGTGTGTTTCCAGAATCTGCAATATGATTGCTTGTTCGTCAGTTAAGGTCAGAACACGGCGGTGGTGAGGCCTTCCAGGCACAGAACAACGAGATTTACTTGCTTACCTCCTGCCGACGTTGCCTTCTTGCTGCCGCTGAACATCGAGCTGAGATGGCGGGGTTTAATTTTTCCTCAAAATTTGGAGGGATATGGGATGACGGTGTAGAGATTCTGAACATCGAGCTGAGACTGCGGGCTCAAAATTTGGAGGGTATACAACTGAGGAAAACTTAAACCCCGCAGTCTCAGCACAATTGAAGTATCTGGGACCCAACGGCCCGTGCAGGTAGGGGACCCTCTTCGTAATTTAGGCTTGTCCGTAGGTCTTGGTGTTTTTTGAAGCCGGAGGACTGCGTTCCCTTGACCTTGTGGGTTGTTCAATAGCCGTGGGTCTTAAACCACCAGTACTTGGCCCAGCTATCGGCCGCTGAAAAAAATAGAGTAGAAACGTTTCTAGTTGGATGAATTTGGGCGCTCCTGATGAGGGGAGAATTAAGACGCTGTTCCGCTGCACGCCCAAGGCCCATCTGATGGGTCGGATCGAAGGGCAGAGTACATGCAGTTGTATACCCTCTCAATTGACCAAGCGTTACCTCATGAACCAACGACCCTCAGAATCTCTACATGCGTAAAGAACTGTACATTTCCTTTATCATCCGGTATTGAAATATGAATTGCAATGTGAGACGACTGCAATAGCAATAGTGAGGACTACAGTGTATGTGTCCCAGGTAACCATAACAAAAACGAAAGTGCATCCCATATCGACAAACGAGATCAAGGACATTTACATAACAATACGTACAAACAAATATTAACTTCGATAACAAAAATGGTTGACATATCTATAAATTGAAGATTTTATAGCAAATTTATACCAAATTTCGAAATGCATGTTATGAAAAAACTGCACAATTCGAAAAAATAAAATGGACGTGCAGCACAATACCACAGTATCATAAGTATATACTCCCACTTGCTCTTTGCTTCTCGGGAGGACGCTGATCACAATGAGATCCACTGTCTGGTGCGCTCGCGAGTGGGGTATAAATCAGCCGGTTGTGTTTTTCTGTGCTGCAATTGCAGGAGGCAAACGTTACCCTTCTGGCTACGTCATCTATGTCCATGGGGGTTGTGTCTAGGCAGACAATTCGCAAGTTCTTTTAAGCAGTTTACATCGGACTTTTTCAACTGTGTTTTCTTCCATCAACAGATTAAGCCCCTTACACTTCAGGTGACGACTGGCCTTCGGATGCCAGCCCCGTTAGATGTTCTCTTCCCCCCCCGATTTCCAGCTACAACCCGACGCCACGCTTGACCATGGGCATTCCTCGCATTCAATACACGTGATTCATCAATACACGTCATTCACGCTTCACCGACTCCATGAATAACGAAACTATGTAACAAATAAACACGTCAATGTGTTTGTGGTATCACAGACATCATCACCGTTTGACGATGAACGTCTCGGGATTTTCGTTCCTTCTTTTGGGGGGGTGTTCGGCAGCAAAACTTGATGAATAACTCAACTATGTAACCCATGAACACGTTCATGTGTTCGTGGTATCACAGACATCATCACCCTTAAACAATTCCTTCTTTCGGGCGGATGGTCGGCCCAAAACAGAAATCCTGGAAGTGTTTGTCGTATCCATTACAGGATTCGACCTCAAAGCGTTTGTCAACAATTGATTGCGCATGTGAACCATTCACGAACAGGGCACAGCACGGACGCAGATGTGACCAGGTGCTTATATCACAGGAGACACAGCACTAAGCAACGCCCCAAACAAACAAAAAAAACAAGGACTGACGGTAGTCGGAATCATGCTCATGTTCGCTCACAACAGTTTACCACGAAGAAATAGCAAAGAGAGTACACGACCGACCGCATATCCGAGCCCTCACTTTTCCAGTGAACCGTCGAAATCCAGTTTTGTATTTGGAAGGTCATGTATCACTTGGTTGTGTTTTCGACATGGCCCGTCACTATTACTAACAGGAAAGTCACATTTAAGTTTTTTGTTTAACAGGAAAGTTATCACACGCAAGTTACGAATAGCATGTCTTGCAAGTTAACATTAACACTGTTCGACAGAAGCCCGTCCGCACTAATAGGAATGCCCACATCCAGGTGAAGAAAAGGAGGTCCATAGTAGTGACTTAGGTAATATATCACTTAGGTAAACAACATCGACTCCAATTTCTGGCAAAACACTAACATCAGCCATGCATCACCCCGTTAGATAAGGATTTATCTTCCACTTGGAGAACACTATAACATCGTCTGAGATTGCAAGATGAAACAAATACCGGGAGAGAGCAGAGCCTTTGTCGGGAAAGACGACGAGGCAAGAATACTAATGACCACGATGCGAAGCTCTGTAAGAAAACCAGTCGAAACGGGATATACAAGCCCATCGGCAACCATAGAGGGCACATAATTTCTTGGCCAAATTCGTCACACAATAGTAGAGTAGGTATCATGAAACCTGCAGCGCTCAGTGTCTAAACCTACCGGGGATTTCTTCCAAACACTTAACCACCCGAAACCGAACGCACAGTTGAAGACGCAAATCTCTACAAACAGCATTAAAGAAATGATACGGCTTCCTAGGGCCGACCGAAGTGCCAACACTCCGGTCGGCCTCCCTGCTGTCCATCGCTAGTACGTCCTTACACAACTGCGAAAAGACTCGCTGATAGCAGAGCAAGAGCAAAGATATCACAGAAAACCGGAGATACCGTAGGCCGTCCGCAAATAGACTCTCATCCGAATTGAGAAATGGCAAGTTGGTTGGCAAGGGAGAAAAACTCAGGTAACTCAGCTGCAAGCGCTTCTCCTCCTCACCAAAACACTCGATTACAGAGTAATCTCATTAGTACGAAAGCAACGTTGAGCAGAGTCTCTGAGCACACCCATTTTTCCAACTTACACACCGTCACACCTGACCACCGCATTTCCATGAAATGCCAATCGCAATTCGGCAGCTGTGGCATTTACTAAGCTCCGACGCGGAACACGCTGATGGGTAGACGAACCAGCAGCAGCAACCTTTCCGCTACATTCAGAGGCCTCTGTCTGACACGCTGCCACAACGATGATGATGGGATCGATGGCATAAATCTGCTGCGATCCCCCGATTCCAACACAGACAGGGAACGTCGTCCCTCCATTCCCACCTCCCATATCCCAGGCACTGCAGAAACGCTGATCGGTAGATGACCAGCAGTTATCTTTCCGCTACGCTTAGAGGCATCTAACAGGTTGCAGCAACGAAGATGATGGGACCAATGGTATAAAGCTCCTGCGATTCGCAAGCAGATTCCAACACAGACAGGGAATGCACTCCCTCAATGCCCCTCACCCATATCCCAGGCACTGCCTCTCACAAGCGAGATCCGCAATAGCACCCACATCCACACTACCTCTACGTACACTGAGCCTCCAACGCCAAGGAGGCAGGGAATGTGGTCACTCGGTAACGCGTCGCAACGACAAGGAGGCAGCAGCACCAACATGAAGTCCGTGTCAATAACGTAGCCACGCCGACGTTGAAGCTCAAACACCATGGAGGATGAACCCGCAAAGCAAGCTCACAACCTCCATGGCAGAGCATTGTGAGGTCAGCATCAGACAGCAAACACAGACCCTCCTCTCTATTATGCCTGTTAACCCGTGGGAATCGCTTCAAGCAACTTCTTGTACTCCTTTACAATACAGAGAACACGGACGCGCTTCGATTCCAAAGATGCAGCTGTCGGGCGGGCGCCAATATGCTTCATAGCGGGTGAAAGCCTCCACATTCGTAGAGTCCTTTCCAGCATTCAAATCCTCTCCGTGCAATAAACAGGGGAAAAAAAACTCGATCAAGACCTTTTTTTCAAAATTCAGACTCTTCGAATTACAACCGTGTACCGGTGCGTAGCGGGGTCCCTCCATCACAAGACTCAAATACACACCATAACCGGATAACTAGTCATCGAAAGTGGTCTTCTTTCCTGCATGGAACGACAGCAATAACGACAACAACAGCCACAGACTTGTGCGTTAGTTGCAACGTAGCCAGAGCGAGGGTCAGGGGTGCAAAAAAGGCTTGTAATGGCAACCACCACCATAGATTTGTGCGTTAGCTGCAACGTAGCCAGAGCGTGGGTCACAGGGGTGCAAAAAAGGCATGAGCACATCTCAATCAATGCAGTCTAAGTTCCCACAGCACACAGCAAGTCGTATCAAGCTCAAGAGTAGAGAGCGAACATCGACATCCGTAAAGCTTACCTGTTCCTGCAGCTGCGAGATTAACCCTCGGCCTCATAGTGTTCCGTCCGCCACCACGTCCTCCTCCTCCAAATCCTGCGTATGACAGCATAATATACAAGAAGATTTTCAGCTATACGAGTTCGCATTTATAGCTACAAGTACACAGCCTTATGAACAAGACGACAGATTCGCTGTCTATGAAGAGTGCTTACAATGTGCTTTCAACACACGACGCACAATATCCAACCACATGGTCCACAAGAACACAGCTTCATGGAGACCTCACCTACAATATCCAACCACAAGGTCCACAAGAACACAGCTTCATGAAGAACTCACCTACAGTTTACTGCCATATTACCGACGTACATAATAGAATCTTTGCAACATTTACAAGGTGATTCATCTTCTGAGACACTCGAGGTACACAAGTTTTCCTTCACGGAGACGTCACATATCAGAGGGCATAGTACCAAAGCAACCACAGTCATCGAAGGGACACATGCAAGCCCATAGAATTACTCGCACTCCTGAGCTTAACCCTAAGCTCAGACCAACTCGGCGACGACAGGCAGCTCCGACAAACCGAGCCATCAATCAATACTGAGACAATTACAGCCAATAAATAGATCAAAGAGAAACACCAACGAATACACAGACTGAGGAAGGAACGTTGATCAATACAGAGACAATTACAGCGACAATACAGAGAAATTTACAACGAAACCACAGAACGAGTACTGACTCAAACCCAGAAATCAATCAATACAGAGACAATTACAGCCCATAAATAGATCATAGAGAAACACCAACGAATACACAGACTGAGGGAGGAACATTAATGGAGTACTGACTCACCTCCTCCGCCGCCGCCGCGGCCTCCACCACCTCTTCCACCACGGAAGTCACCACGGAAGTCACCACGACCGCCGCCCCTTCCCCCACCACGTCCACCGCCCCCACCACCGATATTCGTATCAACGAAAATCCTACGGCCACAGACCTCCGTTCCCGAGTACTCAGCCGCATTGTTCACTGCGTCCTTGGTCGTGAACTCCACAAATGCAAACCCCTTGATTTCACCCGTCTCCCTGTCTGTAGGAATTCTGACATTCACGACCTCTCCAGCCTCCGAGAACACCTGCGTAAGTTCGCTTCGGATCTGCACACCGGAAAACAGGAAACAACTTCAGCAGTTGCCACGTACGGTTCGGGGAAGAGAAAAACAAAGCATACAATATGAGTCCACAAAGAGCAAAAGAATGTTGGGCAACACTGGGATATCATCGGTGTCCAGACAGAGCAAACGAATTTGGGCAACACTGTGACGTTGGAAGAGTTGATTTGGGCAAATCTAGCTTACCCTGTCTTCCTCATCTCTTCCAAAGCCCTTGACGAAAATGGTTGTCGAGTCATCACGTTGTCGGCCACCAGAAGCAGGACCACCACCACTGCAAAGAAAAGAACAATGAAAAAATCACATATATTCATCAGCTACTATCACTTGCCGTCGAGGATTGCGAAGCAATTGGCTCTGTTAACCATCTCCATAAGTGAGTTAACCTACTACGGATTGTTTCATATCCAAGATCTACCAGTCTTCATTATTTTCTTCGTAGAATCAAAACGTATTTCACCGAAAACCTGTATCAAAAATCGTCGTTCTGTTCTCTTTTTCTCAAAGCTACTTTTTTATTTCCTTGGCCAATTTCTTCCAATAAAATAGGATTGTTTGGATTTGTCTTTTGTTGATTTTAACAATTGGTTCTGTTCATGAATGGAAGAAGGGCGCTTTAGATTGCGAATAACACATTTGGGTAATTAGCTCAGTTGGTAGAGTGCCTCGTGCATCATATTTGTTAATAATTTTTTTGGTTTACATGACTTCAAGCCAATAAAGCAAATGCTTGTGAATCGAGTAGCTGATTTCGGATTAGCTCTCTCCGTTTTATGGGTTGTCTTGCTATTTTTCAAACAGTAGACTTTTCAACCATTTTTGAGTTAGTTTTTTTTGTTCCCCAAACATTTTCCAAGATCTGTCCTCATTTTCTTTATCTGAAGTATCTTGGACACAAATTCACATCGTTTTTTTTTTCGCCAAATCTTTTCCAAGATCTGTCCACGAGTTTTAAATTTTGTTAGGCGCATTTTCTTCATCTAAAGTATCTTCGACACAAAGATTCACATCGTGTACAACCAACACAATCTTCAGTCTTCGGTTCGGAAAGGTTATTCTCTGCACTTCATTCAGGACCCCTTGGCGTACAGAAAGATCATGTTCAACGCGCTTGGCACATATCAGCGTCTGCTCGATTTGCGATAAGCAGCTCACTGTCACATCAGGGCACCGATCAAGCACCGAAGGAAAGCAAATGAAACATACCTCTCACGGGTCTTCTGGTTCTTCTTCAAAGAGTACTCCACGCCAATTTCTCGGCCCAACAGTTCTGTACCGGATTTGCCAAGAGCCTGATACAAGAAGTCAATCGTCAAACGTATAAGCGGAAGCGTCCAAATACCGTGAGGCATTGAGAATCAGACCGATAGTTAATTCAGTCAGCAGGCATAGAAATATAAATTTAATCAATGAACAAGGTTCACACACAACCATGCAAACGAAAGGCAATTGAACACAGAAATTCGATACTCCGATTCAGCCAAATACGTAAGCATTACGGAACTTTGTCCAAAAATACGTACCGTCACAAAGTTATCAGAGCGCAAAATCGAAAAAAAAGAGGAAAAAAAGAAATTCATTCTTTTATCTTCTTACAACTCCCCCCGTTCAGAACCTTTTGCGTACAAGGCAGCCCATGAGGATGTAGATTGAGCGGCGGCTGCACCCACCCCCGTGTGTCATATCGACCCACTTGCATACAGCCGAAGGGAACAGCCAAATGCAACGAAACAGAGGGCAAATAGCAACAGCACAAAGAAACGGATGCTAGATGAGAAGTCCCACATGCAAGGATCGCCCCTACTTCACAGTAGGTCCGAAAAAGGAGATACCCCAACAATGGGGAGAGCGAAGTAAAAAGAAAGAGGACACAAAGGAGAAAGAGTACCATAACCAAAGAAAGAGCCTGCTAATACAGGCCCGACGCTCGCCGGATCAGCTACGAAAGCAGAGAGCTAGCAACGTCGAATATATGGATCAATCAACATTATCACAAATATAACGAGATATGCAAAGCCGATTACGACGATATCCGACTGCTACACACCTTAGCAGCTCCTTCAGGAGAGGCAAACGTCAAAAAGCCAACACCTTTACTCCTGCCAGTGTCACCCTTGGGAACATTTGCCCTCGTGATCTCTCCGCAGTCCTTGAAGTGTTCGTACCTGATTCAAAGACCGCATTACAGGCGCCAGAGTCAACAACACTGCTTTCCCAGCGTCGCCAATCCAATTCAACAAGCAAATTGTGAAAACACCCTGGTACGTACATACAAGTCACTTTCCAACTGAACAGATGAACACGGACTTTATAGTAAAAGACCTACTAAATTGCTGAAGAGAGCAATGAACGAGTTCCCAAACGGACTAAGCAACCTGCACAGGATACCAATCGAACGAAAGAAAAACCTTCATCTCAAAACCAGTTTACATCGAGGTGCGCAGAGTGAGAAGGGAGTAGGTCGCGGAAACCGTCCAGCCAAAAACGTCCGCAAATTGTGCGCTCATTGTGCGTGCCACCCTTTCCCTGGAAGAAACAGACCCTACTTCCATCTGATTGCGCGACCCAAAACCACGTTGAATTCAAAAAGACTTACGCAGAGTGAAAAGGGGAAAAGGAACTCACAGCGAATCTTCGTCCACTGCATACGCTAGACTCCTGACGAAAATCTCCGTGTTCTCATCAAGATTCGCATCCTGCAGTCCACAGAACAACCGCACTCACCATTAATACACACAGACTCAACACCCACACAGCAGCTGATAAGCAATAGACACAACAACAACAGCAATCGCCATTACTACACACCAGAAACATATCGTTAACTACACGAGAAACATATTGATAGAAAGAGGAAGTGATTAGGACTGTCAGCTGACCATCTCACTTTTTCTGCATTCGACAAGTGCAGAACAGAACACCCAACAGATAATGCCAGGGCAGAACAGGACAATTCATAACACACCCACCACACCCTAGTACGCAAATCCCATTCTAGATTCGCGTATATCCATAAGCCTGTGATACTCGGGGATTGGTCTGGAAACTCACCTGAGCTGCATTCGGTGTTGTAGGTGTCTTGGGAGGCGGCTTTGTCTGGGCAGGCGTTTTTTTCTCCTCCTGCTGCTTTGGCTTTGGCTTGGGTTTCTCCTCTTCGCTGTCTTCGTCGCTGTCTTCCTCGCTGCTACTTGCCTTCTTTGCTGTCTTAGGCTTTGCTGCTGCCTTGGGTTTCGCAGCCGCCGCCTTCTTGGCAGCACCTTCACCTTCGCTATCCTCATCGCTGTCCTCGTCGCTGTCCTCATCACTGCTGCTGTCCTTGGCAGGAGTGCTCTTAGCAGCTGCGACCTTCGCAGGCACAGCCTTCGCTTTCGGCTTCTCGTCCTCACTCTCCTCATCGTCACTATCATCCTCGCTGTCACTGTTCTGTACTTTCTTTGCAGGCTGCTTGGCGGCCGTTTTCGCTGGGACTGCAGTGCCATTCTTAGCAGGATTCTTCTTCGCCGCAGGCTGGTCACGGCCAAAGCAACACAACACGAACGGGGTTCCATTACCTTAAACATTTCACTAAACCAGCGGGATTACGTAGAATGTCTGGTCAGATAGACAAGATCCCCTACAGGGGTGAATTAACAAGGACCGTAAAGCTTCATAATAATCCACCGTGACATTCACAAAGACATTTCAGGAATATCTAATCGAAAGTAAAATGCGAAAAACCAGCGACTTCGTACAACATGGAGCAGTCTTTTATGGAGTGGTCAAAAATTTTATGAAGATTTTACCGACACTCCTCAGTGTCTTTTGGCGTCGGCGGCGTGTGTGATGGTCGCTAAGCACGGATCGATAACTCTGGCTCTCAGACACAGGTTGGATAATGCAATTTGATACTTGCAGCAGAGCACACACAGCAATGTAGGTTTCGAAAACTAACAGGCAGTTCAGTCATGGAAAACGATCATTTGAAACTCGCAGACAGAGCACACACAACAATGTCGGTTCCGCGTAAACGGGCAGTTCAGCCATGGAAAACGAAGATTATACATACATATACGAACCTGCAGAGTACAAACAGAGTACAAAGGCGCTGCCAAAAACTGTGGATCTCTGAAATCACTCGAGTCATGAAAGAAACTTCACAATCGTAGGTTCCTATTGTTTTCGAAGGTGCGGGGGATAGAGAGGGAATGCAACAATTGCTCATCCGAATGAACAGGATCAAAAGCAGACAATTATCAGTACAGAACAAAGAGCTGGGCAGGCACAGACCACGCAAACAGAAATTGGATGGAAACTTCGGCTGAGATCCCGTTCTCTGCATGCGTCTCGATTCACAAGGTACATACACCGTCATTGCGACCAACCTTCTCATCCTCGCTGCTATCTTCATCATCGCTGTCGTCCTCATCACTATCGTCTTCACTCTCACTCTCCTGTTTCTTGCTATCCTTCTTTGCAGCGGGCGTGGCCCCTGGTTTACCAGGAAGTTTCGACGAAGGCTTGGCCGGTTTCTGCGCATGAGCGACAGATATAAGCACGAAATCAGAGGTACAGCACGCTGCACATCCAACTCGGCGACTGCACCATTTCACTAACAATATACAAGACCGAATCTAGGCACTATTGCAAACCTCGTATACATTCCACATTCTATTCTTACCAGTACAAGCTGTCAACGCTCCATGTTCTTCGAGTACTGACTGCAACGAGCGACCATGAAGAATCATAATTCCCCCGTTCCCCAACCTGGCAAGCATTCAATGCACTTCCCAGACTCCCGCTCAGTTTATCCCCTTCTTTTATTTTCCTCGCTAGTCCTCACCCGAATAGAACGCACGATCATTACCACTCCGTATTTCGTCGCCTTTCAGTCTAGATACCGCGATTACGACAGTACGTTCTATTTGGGTGCAAAGAAGGTCGCAGCGTCCTTATACATTTACTCCCTTCGTTCCCTCACAGCTGCCATACCTTCTCGGGTACCGTTTCACCCGAATAGAACGCACCATCATTATAGCTGTATTTGGAGCAATTCACAGCCCAGATGGAGCGATCATGACAAGGCGTTCAATTCAGGTGTTCCGTCAACATTAACTCTCTTCTGTTCCCTCACAGCTCCTATCCCTTCTCGGCTACCGTCTTCACCCGAATAGACCGCACCGTCATTATAGCTGTATTTGGGACAACTGACTTTCCAGAGATAGCGATCGTGACAGGGCGTTCAAATCAGGTGAAGACGACAGGCTGCAGGCCATCGTCAGATTCCAGTTCCCCCTTCCACACACAAAAATTCAGTAACGACGCATGCAATCGTATAATCCTCATTATAACGGCGCTCCAGACACAAAAGATTAACTGATACGCGCAAGGCAGTCGTACCTTCACATCCTCATCGCTTTCATCGTCGGAAGATTCATCACTGCTACTTTCGTCCTTCGCTGCCGTCTTCTTCGCCTGTGCAGTCACCGGCGTGTTCGCCGGTGTCTTGGTAGCGCCCTTAGGAGTTACTGGCGTCGCTTTTCCTTTGGCACCTGCTTTTGGCTTCACGGCCAAAAAGCAACAGCATCAGACAATCAAGACTCAGCAAACTAGAACGATCAGAGCATCAACCCCGATCATATACGAACAGAACCACCACCGCTCCGATCCATAGGCGATCCATGAATTAGTGCTTTGGGCAAAGAGCCCCATGATGAGCTCATTATTATTATTATTATTCGAAACTTAGAAATCCTCTACCTTGGCCACTTTCGGCCGTATTGCTCAGTTTCGAACCCAGATCTTAGGTAGACGGCAATCCCAGCGTACTTGAAAATACGTACGGGAGTTAACTATACATTACTACCCCTTCGAGAGAAAAACCCAGTATTCATGTTGCGGTAGGCGATTATGGGAGAATCCAAACAAGAGACGGTATGCTTTTGGAGGAAGCTCGGCATGTGACAGGATTGTCACTGAATGATGATTCATCAGTCCGATTAGCTTTGCGGTGAGTTTGTTCCTGAATGATAGAAACACGTGCATTCTCATCAACAGGTCACCATTAGTTTCGATAGATGAACGAGTTTTACTCCTGATTAGCCCAGACAAGTAGCTGTTGATGAGCAGGTCGTCATTTCATTCCTCACTGATAGGAACACGTACCTCCTCATAAGCAGAGCACGATTTCAGTTTCTAACAGATATATGCAGAGCTACTGAATGATGGTTCATCAGTCCGATTAGCATTGCGGTGAGTTTGTTCCTGAATGATAGAAACACGTGCATTCTCATAAACAGGTCACCATTAGTTTCGATAGATGAACGAGTTTTACTCCTGATTAGCACAGACAAGTAGCTGTTGATGAGCAGGTCGTCATTTCATTCCTCACTGATAGGAACACGTACCTCCTCATAAGCAGGGGCACGATTTCAGTTTCTAACAGATATATGCAGAGCTATTGATACACAGATCTGAAGTTCCAGTGTTAAACGAACCTTCGCATAAATAGATTCATAAGCAGGTCACGAAATCAAATCCTTGAATGCACAAAATCATCCAACTGTTTTGTTTTCGTTATTACATACAGAAAACTATTCTCTCAATTTCACCTCACAAAATCATACAACCGTTTTGTTTTCGGTTTTACATACCGAAAACTATATTCTTCTCTCAATTTCACCTCACACTACCTACCTACCACTACTAATTGTAGGCATACGGGGAACCCCGTAGCAGCCAGAATCGTGTTCACGACAGAACATCTTACAACTCTTTTACAAATGCCCACGATAAGACACCACTCACACTACCTACCTACCACTACTAATTGTAGGCATTCGGGGAACCCCGTAGCAGCCGAAATCGTGTTCACGACAGAACATCATACAACTCTTTTACAAATGCCCACGATAAGACTGACCACATTGTACACGATAATCTGATGAGAATTTGCACCCGTCTGATCAAAGAATCGGACGCGAAGGACCCATGCTGCTCTCCTCAGCAACGGACATGCTGACCATAAAGCACAAGTACCCCATCGTTTTCCAACATGCATTTAATTTCGACGTTGCTTGCAGCAACCACATCGTTTTCTGGGTCGAAATCGTCAGGACTTACAATGTTGCACCAGCGGGACCTGAGGGTTTCGTTCAAAAGACGCCGCAATTGAGCTCAGAAACGTCTAAGTTGAATGCTCAGAGGAGCACCATATATTGATAAGACCCGCGGGGCCCGAAGAAGATATAACACACTCGTCTTGAAGCAATTTATCGGACTGGAATAATGCAAGAATGCAGAACTCCGAGAATCCTCATGCATATCTACATACCCTCTCGTCTTCGCTGTCATCATCTGCATCTGAATCGGAATCAGAGTCAGATTCCTCACTGTCGCTGCTCGACTGCTGTTGCTTTGTCACTTTCTTGACCTGCATGCCCTTAGAAGCAGGTCGTTGTGGTTTCTTCTCCTCTTCGCTCTCATCGTCCGAATCGGACTCCTCACTGCTGCTACTCGGCTGCTGCTTTGTCATTTTCGTGTCCTTCATCCCCTTTGCGAACTGTTGTGCTGTCACAACACACTTCCCGTTCCTGTCAAGCGCTTTTGACGCAGGTTTGCCCGCCGCCGCCCTGGCAGCGGGTTTCCCAGCCGGTACTGCCTGAAACGAACACCGAAGGTTTGTAATAACAGAACGTTAAACGACGATAGAATCTATTGAACAGATTCCGCTAACGTTGAGAAAAAAAACACAAACAAAACCAACGAAATCAGAGCTGCAAATCTCCAGTGATTGAGAGAACTAAGACATTCTGACTGAGATCGAGCAAGCCACGTCTTCGAGATACTTACCTTAAACATGATAAAGGGAGAGAGAAGATCACCAAAGATATCACATCTTCTATTTTCGTTGTCAGTCAAATGCACACTGGAACCCACTTCGGATTTACATGAACCACATAAAACCCCCGACATACCACCCACGCCAGTGTCGACCTCACAACCCACGTATTCGAGATACTTACCTTAAACATGAAGGGAGAGAGGAGACCACCAAAGATATCACATCTTCTATTTTCGTTCTAAGTCAAATGTACACTGGAACCCACTTTGGATTTACATGAAGCAAATAAAACCCCCGAGCTAGCGCCCACCCCAGTGTCGACCTCACATGTCTCCCCTCATAGAATGTCTACAAAAGCTTATTTCTTCATTACCGCAATCCGCTGAATCTAGACGGAATTTTGGACAAATACCGCTGGAATTACCTGGGCGTTCTGTTCGGGTGAAGACAGCAGCAGAGCTTGCACTCACAATCAAATTCGAGGTCACATTTACAGCAGCAGAGCTGCAGACCAATTTGAATTTAGATGGAGCAAGGAAAAATCCAGAGCTACAGCTGACACGAGTGTCGACCTCACACCTCCTCCACACAGCTTATCCCCCGAATAGAACGCCCGATCATCATAGCTGCCGCATCTAGACGGAATAATGGAATAACGCAGCCGCGATGACCGGCCGTTCTATTCGGGTGAAGACAGTACCAGAGCTTGCACTCAAAAACCACGTCCAATAAGATTCCTTGCGTTTTCCAAAACCCTAAGCGCCCTAATCAACTTCTGCCCAGCCCAAACGAGAGTTAGAATTAGTTCAACACGATGGCCAAATTAGGTCTTCATATGTTACTCCAGCGCAGAGCTTTCTCACGCCCCTCTTAACTCGATGATAATGATAGACTTCGATGTCGTGTGTATTCTCTTTTCGCTGCGCAGTCATGCAAGTTTAGTATTCAATGTTATTTTATGTCGATGAATATTCCCATCTAGTTTCATATGCTTTCTCCAAAGATACCCGTTCTGAAACGCAATAAATCACAAGTGAGGATTTCTTTCGGATTTCTGTAACATGGACGTCTGCATTCCTTCGTTGTCGGAGATTAAGGAATACCTTCTCATCTTCAGATGAATCATCGTCAGAGTCTTCTTCAGAATCCTCGTCGCTGCTGTCATCTGCATCTTTCATTTCCACATCCTTCGCCTTAGCGGGAGCAGGAGCTGCCTTCTTAGCAGACTTCTGCAAAATAAGCACACCATTTTCATAAAAACATGCACAGGACAAATACGTCAACTCAGTGGCCAAAGAGCCCCACTTCACGACTAAACAGCGAGGACAAGAATCTGAACTGCAAGGTAGACCAGATACATTAGGACTGATCCTAAATTTCGCAAGTATTGAACATCTTACAAGTCCAGATACATTTAGTATCCTATGCAGTGAGTTGAGCGAGCGAGCGAGGCCCATCTTCATCAAAAATGGAGAGAACAACCGCGTATAACACTTCCCTCTCATGCAGAAGACGAGATCGCCGCCCCTTACCCCGCCCAGAAAAGCAGTGGGACGACAAAGCGATAAATTTCGTGTATAGAACAAATAGCACCCAGTAAACTGCACTGCTTAGCGACTGAAACGGGATAAGAATAATAGAAACTCCCAAAAATCATATTGAGCATCGCCTAAAACTTCGGAGGTCATGGCCCTTCGACATAAGGAATCAGCGGTTCATGGCCTCCTGTTGTTTAGGACAGGCTCAATCTCTTATTTTCGGACGTACTGGTTATTCACTGGATATTCACTAAAAGCGATGTAATTACGACGAGAATAAAGGCGGCCGTGCGACATCTCTGTGCAGAGCAACAATAGCGTATCCCGATACACATCGAGGCGCTGTCCCCCCTTCTTCGCGACTAAGAGCCTAGTTAAGGCTCTCACCAATTCGCCAAGATTTTGAATGCATCAGGACATGCATCAGGAAGTCAAGGGCATCACGGAAAACGACAAAATCCATCACGGAAAACGACAAAATCCCAAAAAAGGAGCTGCAGCCAACTTCATGACCGGATTACGTACCCTCGCTGGCGCCTCTGCATCAGAATCCTCCTCACTGCTCGACTCCTTGGCGAGCTTGGGCGCCGGCTTCTTAACGACGCCATTCTTGGCCTTCGGAGGCGGGGCTTCCTGTTGAGGACAAATGACAGTCCATTAATACACGCCGCTAGACCACAAACCCAAGGACCAATCCAAAGCAAACAGCCACAAGACATTGACCACCTTCTCTACCCGAATGCAGTGCACGGGCATTATAGCTGTATAAGGCGCATCTTTCCGTCTAGATAGGGCAAATATGACGGTACGCTGTATTGGTCTGATAAACGTAGTTATCCCATCGGTCGATCCATCATTTGTCACACTTAGTTCCCAGCAGTCCCTAACTTGACTATATGGTGAGCAACGCGTCTGAACGAATTTACAAAAGAAGCAAAGAACAACAGGTCTCTGCAAATCTGACTACTCAACGAGTCTTCTATATAGCTTCCATTAACATACATCCGTCAAAAGATAGGGAGTGAAACAACACCCACAAGGGAGGAAACCATGCACCGAGCACATCATTCTAAAGAATACATTCTGCTGACAAAGGCCGCACCAAATTTGAATTTGTAGGAGAGGAATCACGCTTCGATCCAGGCATACCTCTTCAGAATCCGAAGACTCGTCGCTTGAACTCTCCTTCGCGGGAGTTTTAACAGCCGTCACCTTCTTGATAGCAGCCACCGTCTTCTTCTGAGGCCTCTGCGGAAACAGAAGAATCATCAGTTTTTCTATCCCAAATACTTTTTCACGTGAGTTTTTCTAGATGACTAATAAAAATAATAAGAAAAGATGTCTGTCACAAAGGGCTCATAGCGTTCATTAGAAACCTCTACACACTCGCCACAACGCGAGACCAGCGATCATTCCAGTCAAATGTGATTTGCGAATATCCACTAACAAGTCATATCACGCCCATCTAATAAACCGAAAACAGGTCCTGACACATTCTCTTTTAATTTGCGAAAAACAAGTTCTAGGAAAACCGTTCCATACCAAAGCACGGCAAGCTCTACTGAGAGATACACCACCCCATCGTGTTTACAACACAGAAAACGAAAGTGATTGAAAATGAAGTAGACCCATCACGCGAGTGGAGCTAAGGAGAGACAACAGCCGTCAGAATCAATAGACCAAACACATGACCGCGGACACGAGGATAACATACAGCAAATCGTCGTAGTATGATTCGGAGAGATCACAACCTGCTCTCATCGATCGGTAGTGCTTCACTCGTCGTTGATTGTTCAATATCTGACGGACAACAACTGGTTCTAGGTTCAGGTGGGAAAACTGGTTCCAGGTCCAGCAGCGAAACCACGATCTGTCCAACTGGCAAACAACTACAAGTAGAAAATCCGACGTACCTCGTCCTCCGAAGACTCAGACGAAGAGTCATCTGAAGATTCATCGCGCTTGGAAAGAAGTTCCTTCTTCTTCTTGCTCGGTGGCTCCTTCACCAAGTCCGCATTTTGACGTTTCACACCTGTGTCGACCGCAAACGAAGTGAAAACGAACACCACAAAGAAGATCAGAAAGGAGAAAGGGTCAAGGTCACATTCATACAAAAGCAGAACGACATCAAACACCTACATTCCTTCGATACCTCGCAATCAATCTGCCATCTCCAACCGAGATCTAGATGAGCGTCGAGATATAGATCAGAACGCGAATGCTCCCCGAACATCCTCAAATTCAGCCGAGATTGTTCCCCCAAAAAATACCCTTCGACAAACACAGAACCCGAACAGAGGGTCCATATAACTTCCGTACGTATCATTGTGTACGTTCCTATGCTGTACAAGAGAACATACACCGTTTTTCACATTCAATCCACTATGTCTACGAACGAGTTTAGATTAAATCCACATGTTATGATCCACTCCATGTCGATGAACTCGTCTAGATTCATTACAAGAACACTTGTGATGATCAGCTACAAGAACACTTGCGCACAGTCAATCATTCTTAGACTATGGAGTTTTTCTTCACCAGAAGAACACCGTCCTCATCGATGGATCTAGACTACACGTGGGCCCAAGTACAGCTATAATGTATCGGGCTTTCAATTCGGGTAAAGACGGTAATCTGCAGTAGTTTCTTGCGGACCGCCAAGCAACCAATATGATACGGAATTGTTCACCTGGCCGCCGGCAGGTAGACTGACCGCGGCGATTACAGCTTCGACGCAAGCCCGAAGCCGTGCGAAGACAGCGCCACCTGATACAACGCGTCACTGCACTGATTTTCCTTTCGCGCTGACGAGTTCGACGCTCTTGACAACTTCAAAAAAATAATTTGTCGCAAAGAGGCCAAACTATCGGACGAGAGATGAACCCTGGTTGTCTACACCGACAGGTAACGAGGTCAGATAACATGAGTATGAAACTGGCAAGTGCACGCAAACAAAGAAACGAACAGATTCACTTGAAAACGCCCACCCATTCGAACGATCCCTCCTTACCTTAAAGCCCACTCCAAACACCTATAAGAGGTAACGAAAGGCGACAGCGCGTACACTTTCAGCCAACCGGCGATTACCGCCTTCACCAGCGTAGAACGCCCGGTCACTATACGTGCATCTGGACTGCAAGTTGGGCAAATACAGCTGCAAAGACCGGGCGTTCTCTTCGAATGACGAGTTCCGGCAAAAAAACACATACACCACATAGCATAAACCCTAAATCGATACCAATCAATTTGAATTAACAAAAAAGCTCCCGTTCCGCATTGCCATCGTGGTCAAACAAACCCATAGCGCATCTTTCATCTAGAAATTCGTAAGCGAGTTCCATCTGTCAGGCTCGGCTCGACCGCTATTATAATCTTATAATCCTCGATTCGACACATCGACAAGCTCAGCTCCAGCGCTACCATAATATTCGATACGGCCCCATCTTCATAATCTAGGATCGATGTTTCGTCGCTTTTCGAAAAGACGATGATAATCAATCCGCCAGCCAAAGTTTTTTTATCTAAGTGCGGAAGCAAATGCCAAATGAATCCACACCTTCGTGAGAGGAGTCTCAGTGGTGCCTTATTTCATCCACCGCCATACCAGCCACCTCATACAAATACACACGTCTCATCACCATGATCGACACCTCGCGGCAATCAACAATTTGCACCCAGTGGTTAGCGACGAAAGAACTGACATTATTACTCGTGGACACGAGCAATCCAAACGTCAAATTATTTCTTCCATTCGCACAGACTAGTACATACAAAACGTTCACGTTTAAAATCGGATGACCGCGTACCTTTCGTCTCGACGGCCACCTTTATCAGAGCGAATCAATTGCAAAAATTGTGAAGCCAAATTGTCCAGAGACGCCCCGCGCAGCAACAGACCACATGAGCGAGCGAGACCACCAGAAGCGCGCACACACAACAGAATCAACCACAACATTCGAGAGTTAGAAAAACGACAAACAACAACACGCGTTGACTACCCTAAACACGGAGAAAATCTACCGTGAAAAATAAATCCTACTCAAACAAGCTTCTGATTTCTACCCAATCTGCACAAGTCCCATGGAGTACAGCCCACAAGTGCCATGGAGTACAACACCACATCCCATGAAGTACAGCACGACAAGTCCCACAGAGTACGGCACCACAAGTACCATGAACTAAAGCACCATAAGTGCCACAGCACCACAAGTCCCATGGAGTAAAACACCACAGGTCCCACGGAGTAAAGCACCACAGGTCCCACGGAGTAAAGCACCACAAGTCCCATGGAGTAGAGCACCACAGGTCCCATGGAGTACGGCACCACACCACGAGTCTTTATGGAGTACGGCACCACACCACAAGTCCTATGGAGAACAGTACCAGAGTCCACAGCAGAACGTGGAAAGGTGTTCCTACTAAAGAGGGAAGAATTTCCCACCCAACACACGTGGCCCGTCGATCTCGCCTCCAGGGTTTACATTTTATTTTTCGACCGCAGGTGCCATGTCAGACTGATGCTAGTGAATCGGAGGGGAAAGGAAAACCTAATGCAGACGACGTCATAACCGACCATGGGTAGACTTTCAAAGAGAGGGAAGAGCACGTCAGCTGCAGTAGTGTTTGGGAGACGACACAAGAAACGAAAGACCACCTGAAAAAAGACGATTCTTAGTTCACCGTGACCAGTGTCGAAAATTATAGCACATTAAAATGTGACAGGCTCCCCCGATGAGAGAGCAGTCCTCAGCCGAATAGAACGCCCTGTCATTATAGATAAATTTGGTGCAACTTCCAGCGTAGATACAGCGATAATAACCGGCCGTTCTATTCGGGGAAGAATACATGTAAACTCTCCCAGGCGCGCGTAACAAGACGATTGAAATTTGGGCCAACTGAATTATCGCTGTGAAATTTCGATCTTCAACGGACGACTCCCTAATTGCCCTACTTCCAGGGCAAAAACACACCGACATAATAAACTCTGTGCTAAAGATTACTCACTCGCATGGATACATGAACCGTGTCACCGAGGCCATAGAGTAATACCAACGTACACTGATATATTGCTTCCAAAGAAATCAGGACGAATACATAGGATAACCATGCCCAAGCCCGCGACAAGCAAGTACAAGCTCAATTAAGGCGAACACTACACTTATGACAACACAGTCATTATGAATACTAGCGACAAGCAAGTACAAGCTCAGATAAGGCGCAGACAATATATATACTCAGGAGATCCAAGACCGGCTGGTCTACGAAAGTTAGTCCACTGGTACGGAAATCGTGACAAAGCTGCAGACAATATCAATCAGAGACAGACAACATCAATCACCGAAAAAGACACAGAGTGGACAACTCCCAAGAGGAGACCCAGTGAAAGACGCAGAGCGTGGGAGTGTACACATTCAAACGTGGTCCAAAACTGAGTACCTCCACACAGCAACACTCGAAGCCATTCATCGTCGCAAGCACTCACCCGAGACTTTCTTCACAAACCAAGGGGGGAGGGAAGGAGGCAACTAATACACTGGACAGCTACCAAGAGGAGAGAGAGCGAGAGACACACGGAGAGACAGTAGACAGCTCCCAAGAGAAGAGAGAGCGCAAAACAGCGCGAGAGAGAGGACACCTGCTCACTTGTTCCAAGACTGAATACCTCCACACACCAAGACTTGCCATTCATCGTCTCAAGCACTCACCGAGCCTTTCTTCAGGTTCTTATCCGCCCTCCCCATCTTGCGGAAGGGCTATGGAATTCTTTGAACAGACAGAGACGGTCCACTTGACAAGTCGGCGGCGCAACTAGAATTTGAGGATCAGGCGAGCAACAGCGTTTGCAGCGAGAGGAACAAGGCTACGCGCTGAATAAAACAGTAGATGTAGTTCTCGCGGTGATGGCAGCACGATGAAGTGCACAGCAGCTACCACGGCAGACCAGACTAGCCTCTTCCCTCACCGGCACATGGCGCGCCTCAGCGAGCCACCCCACTGCGCTGCAGACTATTCGCAATGGACACGGGTTCGCTCTGCGAGAGCGAAAAAGAACACAGTTAGCTCCGATGGCAACCAAATTCAATGCCTATGGCGAAGATCACCTGCTGGGGCCGCTGCGTCGGAAGTGAGAAATTCCGATCCAACGCAACGTATTCCTACTCTCTCTAAGGCGGACCCCCTTTTGTTCCTGGAACAAACGAGCAATAATATCCCATGCCTTCCCGCGAAATATCATACGGCAATGGTCCGATTCGTTTCAGCAATCACGGGCTCCGATGCCACAGGGAGGCTGTCGGTGAAAGTGAAAGGCGGCCGCCGCCTCTCGTACTTCGCAGGTCACTTTTGAGTTTTCGAGCGACAACGGTCACCCGACGCTCTATGCTGTGTAAACCTTCGACGAGGAACACGACATCCACGAGGATGCGACACCTATGACTCGTCTTGGTCAGGCGCCAAGCTTTCAGCCAGATCCACAACCTGTGCAAGGATGATGCCCGCAGATCCAGAAATGGTCCACGTTGAAATGAAAAAACATGATACTTTTCGACACACCCCTGCTTTTTCAGCTGCTTGGGGTCATGCCCCTCCAGTTTTTCGCAAAGCCTCTTCTGCACTCCCAGGGACCAAAGCGAAATTTGATGCACCACTCTTGCCTTGGTGCACGTGGATGTTCAGTTCCTAAAAAAAAAAAAAAATCTGTTTTCTTTTTTCTTTTTTCTTTTTTCTTTTTTTTCTTTCTTTTTCTTTTCTTTTTTTTTTCCTTTTTTTTTGCAGGGCTCAAAACAATTACACAAACAGCTCCGGAGCACTCACGACACGACCTGCCCTGGCACATGGCCAAAAGCGCGCTCGAGTACAAGGTGTTGGTAAATCCCAAAGCTTTCCGTGAAGTGTATTCCTTGACCCCATCTCCCCACGCTTCTTTCTCTCTCTCTCTCTCTCTCTCTCTCTCTCTCTCTCTCTCTCTCTCTCTCTCTCTCTCTCTCTCTCTCTCTCTCTCTCTCTCTCTCTC